TTCATAAATCTACCATTCTAAATGGACAACATACATGATTGCCTCTGTCACTGAACCTATGAACTCATTAACAATTGTATTTGAGAATGAGCTTGTTAATAAATACCTAGAAAAAGGAGTTAAGTATTAGGATCTGCCACAGTAGCTAATGGTCAACGAACTACATCTTACTCTCAATACTACGCTTATTTCTACTTCCACTTCCGTTTCTATTTCTTGATTTAGCAACCTAAGACAATCTCTCTCTCTTAATAGCTCACTAGCACAGATAAGTGACTCCTCTCTCTCCCTTTCCTAACACTTTTCCAGGTTTGATTTGTCACTCTGTACCCTCTATAGTTTATTACCTGTCACAATTTCAAATAATAAGCCTACATTTTCTTTATTATTTCATATACAGTATCTAGATTTCTTTTCTATAGAATGAGGAAATAAGAACCTTACATGGTAGTGCTCACCTCTAATCCTAGCAATCAGAAGATGGAAACAGGAAGAGTGTATATTGGAGGACACCCTGGGCTACATAGTGATTTCTATCCCAGTCTGGGCTCCATAGCAAGACCCCGTCTCATAACAAGACAAAAAGAACACTACTGTACCTTTCTCCTACAACTCTCAGGTTTTGTCGACTATACCATGACTTTATCAATCGGTATTTATAACCTCTACAGCCCATTCTGTCCTTGCTTATAAAGTCTTAAGTTTATTTTTTCTTATTAAAGCTCTGGAGGCTTTTACATAAAGTCTTTTACTTAATTTATGCATGCTGTTTCTTCTTAGATCTCTTAGTTAGTAACCACAACTTTTAGAAATATATTTTTCAACCCGACATGGCAGCTCACACCTTTAATCCCAGCATTCGGGAGGCGAAGGCACCGGATCTCTGTGAATTCAAGGCCAGCCTGTCTACATAGTGTGTTCCAGGTCAGCTAAGGCTACAGGAAGACCCTGTCTCAAAAAGACTGAATATATTTCCTCCATGAATTACTTGCTTTCTTTGGTCTGTCGGGTTTTTTTTGTTGTTTTTTGTTTGTTTGTTTGTTTGTTTTTTGTTTTTTTTTTAATGCAGCGAGCACTGCTATCTGGTGCCCTGGCTTTCCTCGGATTTCTGACCATCTTTGGCTATCTGTTCATTTTTCTGAAAGAGAGTACCGATGAACTCAAATGGCTCACATGAATTTCCTCTGTTGTTGTTTTTCCTTGCTATCACTTGAGGGAGGAGATTCTGTGTAAGTGGGCATGTCTATGTGTAAGTCCAACATGTCTAGGGATAGGCTTCTGGGTAGTAGGCAGATAGATAAAGGTAATCAAACCTTTGCTCCCAATATCAGAACAGGTCCTTCTCTGGAGTAGGAGTATTAGCTCCCCCAAGCAATTGTTCATTTCTTTTTTGAAAATATTTTGTTTTTATTTTATGAGCATGAATGTTTGGCTTGTATGTATGTAAGTGAACCTGTGTTGTGCATTGACTATGCAGAGCCCAGAAAAGGGTGTTAGATCCCCTGGAACTGGAATTAAGGAATGGCTGCTGGCCACCATGTGGGTGATGGGGATCGAACCTGGGTTCTCTGGAAGAACAGCAAGTGTTCTTAACTGCTGAGCCATCTCTCTAGCCCCAATTATTCATTTCTTTAATCATCTGTTCACAAATGTCACCTTATCAGTTGCATTGCACACAGGGTCTGCCTGGGCGAATAGAAATAGCTATTTTGGATTACAAAACTGCTTTCTGCCTTCTTCCCTCACTGATTTGCTACACCTCTCAATGCAATGCTCTCCAGGAAGGGTGGCCTATGCCTGTGCTAGGATTTACAAGTCAATATTATTTCATTTGCTTTCAAATATGGAATACTGTATGAGAATAAATCAGAGACCAGTGAATTATGCTGGAATAAAGAGCATCTGCAATTCTACCATATGAATTTAAGAAAAACACGAGCTGTATATTGGGTATTGGACTAAGAATCCTAATCCCTTATGAGATGGATGTTAATACTCCCATTGTGCACGTGTAGAACAGAACCTCAGACAAGTTAAACAATTTTCCCCAAACCACAAAGCTAGTAATTAGAGAGGTGGAAATTTGCAGCGTTAACCCTGCCACTCTTAACCATTTCTCTATACACTTCACACAGGAATTAGGAAAAAAAATATTAAGAGTGTTGAACAAGTACAAATAAGATATTTACAACAGGCATGGTGGCCACAGATAATGGTATTTCCTAGCTCCCTGGAAGAAGAATTAGAAATCCTCACATTCAGCTTGTCAGCTAGCAGAGTTATGCCCATTTAACTGTGTAAGCAAAGATACACTTGCCATAAATAGGCTCCTGAGATTTTTCTAGCACTTCCCGTTAGACAAAGCTCATGTAAGACTTGTGTGTATGGTCTGGCAGAAGGCAGATAAAAATGGTTTTGGATTCTGTTTTGCTTTCTAATTTCTGTGTACCTATATAGAATTTGTTCTGAGAGTCAGTTTCTCATCTATACCATGTAGATATGTTTTTCACTAAATTATTGTGAAGATTAAATGAATAAAATTGACAAATAATGTTCAAATATTAATTCCTGTCTAGTGTAATTTTGTTGTATTTTTGAGACAGGGTCTTACTGCATAGGAATGGCTGGTATGGAACTCACTATGTATAATGAGCCTAGATTCAAGCTCACAGAGATCTGCCTACCTCTGCCTCCCAAGTGCTGGGATTAAAGGCATGTGCCACCACACCATGCTCTACTGTATTATCTCAAATACCTTAGAATTAAATGAGAAAATGTTTATCTATTTGACAAATACCTAATGATAAATAAAAAATTAAATCAATCATTGGACAACTATTCTTTCTAGAATATAGATATGCTAAACTCAAATATTTCTATTAGTATGACTTAAACCGTAATATGTCCTTGGTTATTTATTATAAGGCTTTGAAGGTTAGTTCTTCACACATATATTTCTCTTGAAGTATTTTAGCTATTATAAAACATCTACCTTTTTACATCTTCAATCTATAAGCAGATTAGCTTTCATATCATCACTACATCTGCATACATGGAGTAAGGACAGCCACCACCTAAGACAATTCTAGCATATTTACTTTAAGAACTTGCAGTGAACTTTTGTTCTAGTAAAATGCAATAAGTACAATGTTCAAATACAGGAATTCTTCCTAACTCACATGGAGGCAAGGGTGAAGAACATGAACAAAAACCTTCTCTTGTACTTCGATCTCCCATTTACCCATTCTTTAGATAAAATCTATGTCCCTTTGGACCTGAAAAATGTAAACATATCTCCATATAAGGAAAAGGTTCATTTAATTTTTAAAGTTTGAGGGAACACTACCAGTCCAGATTTGTGTTGAATATATGTGTTGTCACGAGGTTCTAACATTTCAACTCTGTTCCTGAGTTACTGTCTTGTAAAATAAAAGTGTACTGATTGCAAAGGTTATCTTGAAATGTGGAAAGAAAAAAAGACATCATGGAAAAGGTGTAATGTTTAGCTGAAGTTTACAAGAGTCTAAAGTAAGTATTATTTGAGGGAAAAGGTAAAACTCAGTGGGGTTTTCTTTTTTTATTATTGTTTGGTTTGGGTTCCTTTTTTTGTATTGGCTACAAACTGAAACCGAATTTATTCTTTTTTATGTTCTATTTACTTTTATGTATGTATATGTGTGTGTACCTGCTTGTCTGTATGTGCATCATGTGTCTGCATGTACCTGCAGAGGCCAAAAGAAGACTTCAGATTCTCTGGAATTGGAGTTTTAGGCAGTTATGAGCTGCCTGATGTGGGTGCTGGGAACTGAACCTAAGTTGTCTGCAAGAGCAGTCAGAGCTCTTATTTGCTGAGCCATCTCTCCAGACCCCTATTTTTTTCTTAATCTTGGTAAAATATATTAGACAATTTATATATGTACTTTCCTCTCTTACAAATCTTTAAAATTCTTGATGACTACACCAACAGTCAGTGTGAATATGAATTTTAATCTTCCCTAGAATTTTGGAAATACAAACAGAACCATCAGTAGTGATATACTCATGGCAAACAAACTAAATGATATTAAAAGGTATTCCTTTGACTTCATTAAAAAGAAATTATAAAAATAAACAGAAAGTGTTTATTGTGATTACTTCTAAGGACTTAGGAAGTGGGATGGGAAGAGGGCAATTTGACTCAAGTTCTGTGTGATTTTCTTTTTCAAAATAGGAGTGCACTATCTTTATAATTCAGAAAAACTAAAAAAAAAATGTTTATTTTTATTTTATGTGTTGAGTGTTTTGCCTGAATGTATATAGGTGCACCACATGCACGAAATGCCCACGGAAGCCAGAAGAGGGCTTTAGATCCTCTGGAACTAGAGTTACAGATGGTTGTTAGCTACTAGTGGGTTATCTGGAAGAGCAGCCAGTGCTCTTAATTGCTGAGCTATCTCTCTATCCCCAAACATGTTTTTTTTATAAGCAAGGGTCTCACTATATAACCTGGCTGACTTGGAACTCACTATGTAGACCAAAATGACCTCAGATTGGTAAAGATCCACCTGCCTCTGTGTCCAGGGCTAGAATTAGAGGCATGTGCCTCCATTCCTGGTCCTTCAGGAGAACTTTAGTAGTAAGATGCCAAAATTCATGACAGTGATATATTAGCTAATAAATACATAGATTATTTGATAGATAGTCTATAGTTTGAAATTTTTCATTACAAATACTTGCCCATTTTTTCTTGTTTTCCTGACTTTGTAATTCTTGAGCAGTTCTTTTTTCCTATACTCACTGGCTTTATACAAATACCATTTTCTTGCTCAAAATCCATCCCATTAGAGAAAAGAAAGCTGAAAACAGGCAGCCCATGGGTGGCTCAGAGCATTTTAATATTTTTTATTAATTGTCAGTGTTCAAGAACTGGAAATTTTCCATAAAATTCCAAGTTCTCTCTGAGTATTGTGGCACACATCTTTAATCCCAGCATTTGGGAGGCAGAAGCTGGCAGATATCTGTGAGTCTGAGGTCAACTGGTCTATACCATACTTCATGGCAGCTAGGATTGCACACACCTGCCTGAGCATGAGCCCAAGTGCAGCCTCTTCCTGAGGCCAGCCTGCAGCCTGGAGCCCTGACCACACCTTACTCCCTCCCCAACAGATCTTGCATGAGTGTGGACATCTTCAGCATTCCTTGTACACTGTGTTTTCTTTATAGTATACTGGAAAGTGTCTGCGCAATGGGAAAGGACATTGTCAGTTTGGTGGGGGTGAGGGCAGGGTAGGCAGAGGAATGGAAATTGGAATATTTCTTTGGAAATAAATGAAATAATCCAGATCAGAAAGAAAACAAGCACATATTTGTTTGTTTCCTCATTTTGGGAATGTAGAGAGAGGGACAAAAAAGAAAGACTTGAAACTAGTAGGGGACTGTTAGAGAAGAGAAGAGGACAGAGGAGGGGAAGAGAGAGGGTGGGGTGCTGAATAGGACTGAGATATAAAAATGCAGGAAAATGTCACAATGAATCACAGTATTTTATGCAAGTAATATGTATGAATAAAAAAAGACTATGAAGGTTCTGTCACTGACTCTACAGAGAACCAACTTAAAAAAAAAACACAATAAAAAGCCCACAGGGGATAAAAAAAGATTATGAAAAAATATAATGAATTTGTTTTTAAGTGAAAATGAAGTCAGGAATTCTTTTTAAACTGTAATTACATACTAAATAAAACAATGTTTTCCTGTTTCTAGTTCACCGAGTTAGATTGCCCCACTGACCCTGAAGGATTTTGAGTTTATCTCACTATTTAGAAACACCCAGAAACAGGGGGCCCTTCCCCCTCCCAGTCTTCTTCCCCAGCCATAATTCTAAACTCAGAGGCAGTAAACGGCAAAGGCTGTGGAAGGCTGCCGGGTCAAGCCATGATTCCCCTCACTTCCCTCCTCTTCCTGCTCTGAGCAGTAGCCTGCAAAGATAAGGGCAGCTGCTATAAAAATTCCTATTAACTTTCCACTTGTCCTTCTTTCTCTGAACACAAGACCTCTCCCTGGAGGCCCAGAGTTTGGCAACATGCCCAAAGTGAGAGCTGGGACATTTCCTTGCTCAGATGGTTCTATTCATTTTACAAGGTCACAAACCTTCAGTTCTGGCTGCAAACACTCAGACCAGACATCCAGCCTCAGCTTGACCCCTGAGGGAAGAAGTAGAGGGCCTGTGCATGAGTGCAGGCCAGGTCTAACAGAAGCTGTCTGCAGTTTCCATCCAGATGCATAGCTATAGCATGAGGCCAGGAGCTCCTAATTTTAGGGTAAAGGAAAGATAAACTCTGGTCAACTATGTCTCTGTCAAATCTGCACCCTCAGGCCTGATCATAGCTTGGGGCCAAGGTTACATCCTCAGTAAAGGATTGCTGCATGTTTGCTGATGTGGTTCTACTCTCAGAGTATCAAACTCCTCCTGCATTACTTAGTTCAAATCTCCTGTAGTACCACCACCCTGAACTGCGCTACATGGCTCCGATAATTTAATTTAATCAGGGAAGTTCTGCAATAGGTAAGGTTGGTTTTTATATTGTCTCCAATTTATAGAAAGGGAAATAGAAGTTGAGAGTTTAGTGTGACTTACTCAAGGTCAAAGAATGCTTGATGGGCCTCGTGTTTACTGCACTGTCAACCAGGACACCATAAACTAAAAATATGAATTGTTAAACTGTAGCCCTTTATAGAAAAAATACATTATCCAACACACAGATGTCCTGCAACAAAAGCAACATTAAATAATTAGCCCAAAGAATCAACAAATGGAACCACATGAAATTAAGCAAGTTCTACACAGTAAAAGAAACTACTAGCAGAGCAAACAGACAGCCCACGGATGGGAGAACATCTTTACCAGTTATACTTCAGAAAGGGAGCTAATATGCAGAATTTACAGAGAACTGTAAAAAATAAATGCCAATAAGCCAAACCTTCCAATCAACAAATGGGTTGATAAGGTTAATAAAATGAGCAAACAGTTCTCAGGAGAGACACAAATGGCCAAAAAGTTTTTTTTTTTTTTCAAATGTTCAACATTTCTAGTGATCAGGGAAATGCAAATTAAAGCAATTTTGAGATACCACCTCACCTCTGTCAGAATGGTGATACAAATTTGACTCTGTAGGCCCTTATACATATAACAGAGTACATGACATTGGGTGGGGGGCATTAAGAGGGGTGCAGATGTGGCGGGGAGTCTGAATATGATAAAATGTATGAAATTCACAAAAATTCAATTATATGTTTAAAAAGAGTGGTTATCATCAAGAAATCTGATAACAAAAGGTCACAAGGATATGGGAAAGAGGGACCTTTATTCATTGCATGCAAGAGTGCAAACTAGTACAGCCATTATGGAAATCAACAATTTAAAATAGAACTATCATATAACTCAGCTATATCACTTTTGGGTGTGTACCTAAAGGACTTTATATCCCACCACAGAGATACTTGTACACCTATGTTTATTACTGCTGCATTCACAATAGCAAGGAAATGGAACCAGCCTAGGTGCCCATCAACAGAAAATTAATGATGAAAATGTGGTACATACACACAACTGAATTTTATTCAGATGTAAAGAAGAAAAAATAGAATTTGAAATTTGCAGAATAAATGACGGACCTGGGAAGCATAATATTATGCAAGGTGACCCAAACTCAGAAACATAAAACTGCCATGTTCTCACTCATGCATAGATGCTAGCCTATAACATGCACCCACATGCGTATGCACACACACACACACACACACACACACACACACACACACGAGTCTAAATGTGCATAAAGCCTAAAAATCTAGAAAAAAGACTGAGAGGGTAGAAATGAGTAATGAGGAAGGACAGGAGGAGAACAAAAGGATATTTGACGTGAAAACAGAAAAGGGACCTGAAGGGGTGCTACAAGGGGAGACCAGGGCGCGGAAGTAAGGACGATGAGGGAGGACACTCTACTAGAACACAATCTATTTTATAATGCCATGTCTAATACCTTGTGTGCTAACTTAAAAAGAAAATGAATTTTAAAAATAATTGGAGAAAATGACTCAGTAAAGAAAAATTAAGATTTTTAAAACATTTTATATAGAAATATTTTACAAAGATTTTACAACATAGCAAATCATGTCATACTGTAGAAAGATGAAGAAAAAAGATTAAAACTCAAGAATAAAGAAAGTGCTCATAGCAACGTATTGCAGTCTCCATAAAAGTGCATAAAAAGTTAAGGCAATGTACCATGTTGGTACTGGCATGTTACAAAATAACTTGTGAAACAGTTTTTTTAAAAATATATACAAATGTTTTCTCTTTTATTCTTTTCTGAGATATTTGAAAGGGAAACTTTTATGAATATTCTTGCTCCAGAATAATGTAGAGATAACTAACATCTAGGCCTAAGTCAGTGAAAATACAAATGTTCTATCTGAGCAAATCAAATGATTTCTAAAACAAAACCTTTCCAATACAAAACCTTTCCAATACTTTCCAAGTGTGGGCTTCCTTTCTACATGTAACTTGCCAGGCTGAGGGGCATCTCTCTCCCATCCACTAGGGTAGCTATCAATGGTGTTAGCAACTTCAGTTAGATGAGGACCTCCCCCTTGTGTGTAGCTCTTAGCTTCAAACTAATGATATAACGTCCTTAGACATTCACTGCACTATAAATCTACAGCTTTGCTTCTACTGATGATGGTCATTTTATGAAGAGCTACATATGCTTCATATAGTATTTTGCCCTGATAACAAAAATGCAAAAGTACTCCCTAAGGTCAAACCATGAACCTTATTGGAGAATTAGACATACATATTTCATTCTCCATCTTCTTCAAATTCCTTAAGATCAATAGGATCAATAAGGATAATACTGGTTATCAAACTATAATCTTCTACATGGAGAAAAATTATTTGTTTTTATAATGTAACTGAGAAAAAAGTCACTGATACAAAAAAAAGGAAATTGGCCAGTTTTAGGGCAAAATGATTTATCTGAATTGTAGAAGAAATAATAAATATCTGCCAAAGAATAACTTAACTCACACGATTAACCACTCTTTTCTGTAAAATTTTATCTACTCATCAGAATAAGGGAACTTCATTTTACCATTATAGTCTCTCCATGCTTAAAACAACTTTTTCTTTCCCTTTTTCTTTTTTCCATGTCTAAAAGTAAGGGGAAATAACCAGTCCATTCTTGCTGACTTAGGTTCACTTAGTGCTCTTAGCCCTCAAGGCACAGCTGTGGTAAAAGCAGAGAAATACCCAGGCAACTACTGGAATTGTTAAGTACAGAACAAGCATGCGTGCTCTCCACAACCTAGTAACAGGGCAGCAGCAGCTATACTATTTTACACAACAGATGTGTTTGGCTGATTTTCATCTGCAACTTCTTTTTCATCAGAACCACAAACAAAGAGTTGGTTGCCCAGAGTTTTCTGGGCAAATCGGAAATACATAAGATGGCCCATTGCCACAAAGGAGACTGAAATCAATACAAGCAAACCAAAAGCTTCAGGATTCGGGGCCAGGATAACCATGATGAAGTGGAGAAGATCAAGAAGATAGTTCATGGAGTTCTGTACACCGTTGATAATGCCTCTTTCAGATTCAATTACATTTTCTTGCAGCAATTGTGTCACAGTTAAATCAAAGGACCAAAGACCTATATGATAAAAGATATTTTAAAGATTAAAATTTAATTTATAATTTAATTTATAGTCATACATTTCTGATTATTTAATACATAACATATGCAAAATATGCATTTTAGTTCTATAACCTTTAAATTATCCTTATATAAAAAGTATTTACCATACTTTGCCTTACATGATTTCTTTTCATTAGTACACACTGGATTATTCATGGCTTCAAGGAATGATTTGGCAACCACAAGACAAAATAAATTCAACTTGCAAGCTTCTCAGTTCCATTTTCCTGTGATTATTCACACCACACAAGCAAAACGCTAGCCAAGTGCGGTGGTATGTGGTGGTACATGCTCTTAATCCCAGCACTCAGGAGGCAAAGGCAGAGGCAGAGATGGAGGCCAGCCTGGTCTACGCAGTGAGTTCCAGGCCAGCAGGGGCTACAGGGAAATCTTGTCTCAAAAAGACCAAAAAAAAAAAAAAAGAAAGAAAAAAAGAAAGAAATGCTAGTCTCAGGAACACAGAGTCTATGAATACTAGCTTTTTGAAAGTTTGAAATGATCTAACGCACTGCCATGGCTAGAATACAGAAACTTTACACCATTGTTGTATTACTGCTTGAGTGGTACAGTCCTGACAATAAAGCTGTCTTGCTTGAATATTAATGTCTCTGATAGATTAATGAATTTCTTTGTATCACAAGATAAATACAGTCTCATTTTGAGAATGAATGCCTTCAAAGATTATTTATCAGCACTCTATTAATGATTACTTAAATTTTGCTTTGAAAGATGTCTTCACATTATGTTTCCTTCCAGAGCTATAAAATCCATTTTTGTGGCAGAGTATGTAGTAAGTACACATCAGCTAGAGATGACTTTTGAAGAATGTTTCATAGCCAGTCTTTAAAAAATATTTTGTGCTATTCCATAGAAACAGTTTTTAAACTATAGTTTGAGGTAAAGTTATTCCAATATAAAGGCTACACATTACTAGACAGCAGTAAAACTATAGCTATTTTTTTTTATTTTATTTTATGTGTATGTTTTTATTGCCTGCATGTAGGTAAGTGCACCCATGTCACGCAATGCCTACAGAGGTCAGAAGGGGCTGTTGGATCCCCTGGGACTGGAGTTACAGACAGTTGTTAGCTGCCATGTGGGTGCTGGGATTCGAACCCCGGTCTTCTGCAAGAACAACCAGGGTTCTTAACCGCTGAGCCATCTTACCAGCCCCTATAGCTATTTTTTATATAATTAAATTAAATTACTTCAGGGATGATGATGAAGTTCAGTGGTAAAGCACTGCCTCACCTGTAGAAGGCTCTGGTTTGATTCCCCAGTAACATACATACACACATATACACACATACACATATACACACTTATGCACTTATATGCACACACATACACACAGACAAATGCAAAAGACATTCATTTAAAAGGCTGGGATTGTTATTCAGAATTAGAGTACTCACTTAACATGCATAAGGTACTGGATTCAATCAATCCCCAACACACACACAATTTAGAAAAAGAAATTCTAAATAGTTTATAAACATACCTAGAAGTATAATTTTAATATAAAATAAAAATTTCATATTTAAAGACTAGATTCTATGTAAACAACTGGATTTTGCCTAAACATCCATGAAATTAACACCCATGAATTAACATCCATGAAATATTTCAGATAATTTATTATTAAATTCTCTGTATTGACTTCTCAAAATAATCCTTTTAATTTTTTAATATATAGGGGCTGGAGAGATGGCTCAGTGGTTAAGAGCACTTGCCAATCTTCCAGAGGACCTGAGTTTGGTTGGTTGAGGCAGCTCACAACTGCCTGTAACTCCAGCTCCAGGGCATCTGGCACCTCTTCTGTACCATGGGGGACCCACACACATGTGGCATACATATACACACATAATAAAGAAACTTTTTAAAAAGTTTAAAAGATGGCTCAGTGGTTAAGAGCACTGACTGCTCTTGCTGAAGGCAGGGTTTGATTCCCAGTACCCACATGGTGGCAAACAACTGTCCCTAACACAAGTTCCAGGGGGAATCCAATGCTCTCTTCTGACCTCCGCATATTGCATGACATGGGTGTACTTACATACATGCAGGCAATACACTCATACACATAAAATGAAAATAAGTAAAATATTTTTTAAATGCTTAAAAGTAGTTTTTTTTAAATATACAGAAAGAGCTCTTACCGATTCTAGCAGCAATGACGCCTGCAAACAGCAGGCTGACTGAGATTATGGGCACAGATTTGGTGCTCATTTCTTCAACAGTATTTACTGTATTGGACCCGTTTGACATATGCATCTCGGTTGTAAAGATGGTTTCAGGTATTTTGGTAGTTGGGGACACTGGCTCTCCCTGCATAAACCTAGAACGTGTATCTTCAAATGGAGAAACGGACAGGTCCAAAGGGCTTCCAGGCATGAACACAGAGATCACACACAAGATCAAACAGGAAAGCTGTGCCAGTCCTGAGAACAGGCCAGTCCGTACAAGGCCGCACTTTCGACGTAGCCAAGTAAAAGCCACGGTTCCCATTATTCCAGTTATAGCTGAGGCTCCCATCAAAATACTGAGGATGGAACCACTCAGCCCCTGAGTGTAGGCGTACCCTGTGGTGATGCAGTCAAAGCCTAGCACAGTCATATAGAGGAAAGCAAGGCCCATCCCAGCTAGAAACACAGGCTGGTTGTAGTAGGAGACCCATCCATCTCGGAAGGTGCGGAAGGGCTCAGCTATCTGGGAGGCACATGTGGGCTCTTGCTCACGTTCAAGCTCATGGATGTTGGAGTCTTTCTCACCCATTAGATGAGTTCCCTCTAGTGGTTTTGGCTCAGTATCTATAAATAAAAGACATTATCATTTTAGGGGGAGAACACAGGGAGAAGAAGTCAATTACTCTTGGTTTTCTTATACCTTCCCTCCCTATGGGTCCCCTTGGCTAGTATGTGTTTTCTTTGACTAAAATTTTAAGAATTTCAGCTGTGAAATAATTTCTAAGTACCATTTTGTCCTGTTTTCTAGAATCCCATTAAGATTACATTTACCTGAAGACCAACTTCTGCTTCCCCTGGGAAACACCTTGTCTCTACCCTCAGTCCTACCATTGTCCCATAAATGGTCACACAAATCCCTTCAGAAACACTAGGAAATTCTCTTCTCTTTTTCATCCCACTGTTTTCCCATTTCTATGACTCAGTTTCCCAACCATTCCTCAACTAATTGCTCCTCTGTGCCTTGTACTCACATAGAAAAAAAGAAGAAGAACCAGGGATCTAATTCTAACTCTGTAGGTTCAATCCAGAATCCTTTGCAGAGGCTCAAAAGTCTGGGTTTTACTGTAGCTATCAAGGTAATATTTGGACTCACTCAGCCCTTCATGGGAAATACAGTCTGACATAAATCTAAAATCAAATTTGATCTTCACCAGTGTTTAAGGTCTAAACACCAGAACAGATGACCAGTCACTGTCATCACTTACCTTTAGGTAAATTCAGCTGCTTAAGTTCTGCTTCCTCTACTTTAAGAGCAGCTTTCACAGCCAATGCAGGAGTTTTCTGGTAAACTTTCCAGAGCAAGAAGTACTCCACACACATGGACACCAAATTCCATCCCGAAATGAACCCACAGCCAATGACTGGGGAGCCAAATGTCATAATCTGGCCAACAGCCATGGGAGCCAAGATGTTGGTTAACTGGTCAATCCTTCGAATAGTAGCATTCATGTCTACAGCAGTATGTGGAAGAGGCAGGTAAGTAAGAGTTCAAACTTTTCAAAGAAAAACTGTTCATTTACATAATATAAGCTAAAAAACCAAGAGTATAGATTCCTGAAAGGACAATTTCTAAAAGCACTCTGAGTAAACCATTTGCTATAAAGAAAATAAGTAGCCTGGTGTGGAAGCATACTTCTTTTTCCTTGTACTTAAGAGGCAGGGGCAGGCAGATCTCTGTGAGTCAAGGCTAACCTGGTCTACATAGTGAGTTCCAGGCTAGTCAGAGATATATAGTGAAACCTGTCTCAAAAAAAACAAAAAAAACAAAAAAGAAAAAGGAAAGATAGAAAGAAAAAAGAAATCAAGTAATATCTTGCCCTATTTCCATGAAATACATTACCAAAGGAAAAGTCAATAAATCAACAAGCAACTATGTATATAATATATGCATGTTTATATATATGTGTATATAAACAAACATAAAAACTAGAAATTAGCATATGACATGTAAAATGTAGAGAAACAAATACTGTGCTTACTTTAAAGGTAAAATCAGGATGACTTGCTAATAGATTAGGTTTAGAGTGTGAGACAAAAGAAGACCGAAGAATGACTCTACCAGTACTGTGCCAAGTACTGGTAACAGATCAAGAAAGATGAGCAGTAGGAAGAACCATTTGACTAGTCACATGAAAAACACAGAGACCTGATATAGGGCAAAGCAGGAGGGGAAAATGCTTGATTAAAGTTGGTTTCAGGCCTTGGTGCCAACTCCAAGAGACACCATCTTTTCAGTGAGTTACATCCCTTGGAACACAATGTGAGTGCTGTCTCCTAGCCTCGTGGAAAGCAAAGCCTGACCAAGGAAAGGAATTTAAAATACATGTCTTGTTTTGATACGTTTTATTGAAAAGAGGGAAAAAGAAGAGAGACAGAAAAGGCAGAAACATGGTAAACACAGGATTTTTTAAGAAGAACAAAATCAGAACATATCCATATGTTCAGTGAATACAATAGAAGGGAAGGGAAGGAGTATAGATCTACTCTGTACATAGACCAGAGTTTAGCTAGAAGCACAAATAACTAATCAATAGCAACAAGAGTGGGGCCATATGCATAGCTTCAGGTACAGGCTGGATGAGAGAGACTCTAGAAGAACAGTCTTCTTATTCCTTCAACTGTAGCAGTAAAATGCAAAGCAAGGTCAGCAGCCAAAGTGAGGAAGGTGGAGGCAGGCCTGTATGTGGTAGGACACAGGAGAAAATGCAAACATTCCTCTACAAAGGTGGGAGAATGCAGAGACCAGAGAGAAGTCTCATCGCCTCACAGCCTGAAAAGACCAACTTGAAGTCATGTTCATGAGCTTTAAATGAGAACACTGAGCTAGGTCATGTGTTTTTCTCCAGTCACATGGAGTAGGATTTAAATAGGTGAGCACAAAAGCAGAAGGAGCCAAGAAAGCTGAGGGCATTTCCTGGAGGTGAGCATATCATCATGGCCTATCTTGGAATTTAACAGAGGAAGAGAGAGAGAGACAAGAAAAAGGTCATAAATGGTGAAAAAGCAATGGATCCTTTTAAATGCCAAGCACACTGAAGGATTGTTGGGGCTGGGTAGTAGAGGAGGTTGCTAGAAAGACAGAAAGAGGGAGTTAAGACATGATTCCAAAGACTGAGATTTTGAAAGGGGAAGATTTAGTGGTGATGACAAGTCTGCTAGAGTTGGTCTCTGGGAATGCACAGTTGTGTCAAAGATTAATGAGGGCAAGGAATTTAAGAAAATGATCTACTTTGTCATGCCCTATCTAACAGGACAGAATGAAAATTAATGAGTTAAGTCTTCAACAGTCATTTAGGTTACCAAGGGAAAATCAATATGTGACTAACAAGTACATTCGTGGAAAATTGCCTGTATTCTTGGCTACTTCTTTTTAGTCTTAGATTACTTTCTGATTAGTCCTATGAGTATATAATACTTATATGATAACAGGAGAACTTTGACATACTTCACCTTTCACTTGAAGGCAAAGGCAGCTTTCATTGATCAGCCGGTGACCATTTTCACAGAGGCCCCATTAATTTCTCTCTGCCCCACTAGTAAGTTTCCAATGAGTTATACCAACATGGAACTGATCCAAGTAACTCAGTAATTTGAATCCACAAATATCTCGTTTGTGATGAACTAGCAGCAGGATCTTAAAGTACCATGACAACAAAAAATTTTTTTTTATTGAAATTGTTTGTTACTCTTTCACTACCTGAGTGAGAACTCAATGAGAACAGAGAACAAAGCTTCCCCCAAACACCAATTTCTATCTTTTATGTGATATTTAGGAAGTTAATAATGTTCTGTGTCAAAAGAAATGTAGTGTCAGAAAACAGCTCTTAGTTTCTGAAGCAGAGTGACTAATTTTTCAAAGAACTAATCATCTTACTAGTAACAGCCTAGAATAGAATCAGTCTTCTGAATGTGCAAACATATGGCCTTTGTAAATTTATATTTATTCTCAACACTGAAATGTGTGTTTAACTGGCTCTGATTTAATTGTTTTGGCTACAACTATGGTACAGGACACAGCATGAAATAATTTCTTTTATCTAATGGGTATATTACACTACATAGAAAAATAGTTTTTCAAAATGGATTTGTTGTGCAAATTGGACTAGTAGATTCCTCTAGTTAAAATGTGAAATCGAACAATTTTCAATCAACAGAGTTTAAACATGAAATTTATGTGACATACTTGTTGATTGAAGCAAACCATCAAATTTTTCTTTAGAATAATTGCTAAGAAAATCTCGATAAGATATTAATAAAGACCAACCCACAAGGAAACAGGAAAATAAAATAAAACAATTGAGGGATTGAAAAGTGTGGGGAAAGGAAATTAACTCAAAACAGGTTAGAAAGACTAGATAACACAAGAGAATGTCAATAAAATACTGAACCAAGTATCTGCAGTCCCTAACTTACTTCATAGATTAGTTAGTAGTTAAGAGTGTATATGTGAAAAACAATGCCTCTTCCAGAGCTTTCTAATCTGTTTTCTCCTGTTATTATCCTCAGTGATATAACTCTCAATTTTAAAACTCTCTGAAATCAAGAGTGCTGGGATAAATGAATTAGAGCAATTCATAATCTTATTTTGACTCACCTTAAACACACACACACACACACACACACACACACAGAGAGAGAGAGAGAATTCTACCTGGAACAACAGGCTGGCCTCCATCTAGAGAGATTTAGCTGCCCCTGCCTCCCCAGTGCTGGGATTAAGGAAGTACGCTACCATGACTGGCTCTCCTACCTGGTTTTCTAACAGTTTTCACAGCATCCTCAGAATCAGCCAATATTAACACAAAATTATTCCAGACAGGCATAGGTTTGTCTATGTGCAGAGAAACAGCCTCACAGGAACCCAAGGCAGCAGCTGGAGTCCCCCAGAGATTCTACTTTTTATCTTTTTTCTCTCTTTTTCTTTTATTCTTATTTATGTCCTTTCCCTCTATTTTTTTTTCAAACTCTGCTTATAGCAGAAATGATACCCCAGTTCTGTGGTTGGACACTGTTGACCCTTTAAAGAAGTTTCTGTGTTCAGTTTTGAAACAAGGTTTTTAATTAACACAAGTGCTGAGGTTAAAACTTCAGGAAATTTTCTTTCACTAATCTACTAACCTGAACTTCAGGCTGGGTGGAAAGAGCAGCTCTTACTAAAACTTAACTTGGAGCAGATAAGAGCTCAGTGGACATCTCTCTTCCCTTATTAAACTTGAGAACAGACACAAGGATCAGAAACGAGCTGATTGGCATAGATTCTTCTACTGTACGATAATTCACAATAAAAAGAGGGACAGCTGAGCAATGACCAGTCATACTTCTGGCTGTTCTAAGACGTCATTTCATGGATTCTACAAACTTATGCTGTTTCTGCATACATATTAGGACCACTTAAAGACTCTGAGTAGTCTTCCCTTTAACAAAGCTATTTTACAGAGAAAATAACCTTTTTAATCTAACAGACTTTACAGGGTCAAAATGAGTACAATTAATAGATTCAGATAAATGCAAGAAAATGATTTAAGCCAAAGTTTTCCTTCAAATATATGTCAAGAATATATATTTGTGATCTTTTTTCAAAATAAATCTTTTTGTATACTCTGAATTTTAAAACATGGATATATGTTACATGTTTAAAATGGTAAGCTGAAAAAAGTAAACCAAAAAAAATAAAAGGATGAAGCCTTATCTTCTCAATCAATATGGCAAAAACACTGAAAGAGATGTCAAGAAGAATTTCCTGTGGAGCAGAGTCATGTACACTACACTCACCCTGTGTACATGTCACCTTCTAAAATCATGGTAGCAGTTCTCTAGACTGTAATACTGCTACCAAGAAGTGATGATTCTAGATCGGGGTGTCCAACCTTCCAACATTAGAGCATGACACTGTCAACTACAAATGTGTTTGGTTGAATTTACAGCTATACAGGGTCAAATGCAGGCAGGTTGGATATGCTGTTCTAGATCTTTCACAGACTTTGTTCCTTTTCAAGCATCATTTCCTTTCTCTCTTCTCTCTTTTGTTAACCACAAGGTCTAGTCAAGCAAAGCTGCTTGCTCACCCCAGCACATAATCTTTCCTTCTCTGTCCTAGAGTTAAAAAGCCACTTAAGTCATCAAAAATGGTTTTCTTGTCTGTCAGGATTGTTGGGCAACCCATCTGTGATAGCTATTATCTTAATGACCAGCAGAGTCACTTCAGCTGATCTACTGAGTAGCTCTGTGTACCCTTCCTCCTTTACCCTGTGTAATTATCAATCCAATTCATGGCCTGTGTGCCATATATGGGGGGAAAGAGAATAGCAAGTAAGCAAGGGTATTTTGAGCACTAGAGTACTAATGTAATAGGACATGCTACCTTGTAACCACTTTTTAGTTACTTTTTAGCCACTTGTATTTCCAATTAAAGGAATCATTCTGTTCTCTACAAAATATTTTAATAGCAATTATCTTACATCCTATATAATATAATGAAATAATGAATTATCATTCTAAATTAGATGTAATGTAATTATCATTACATCCTATATAATGTGAAAATCATGAATTATCATTCTAAAGTAGGAGGAACTGACTTCTAGAAACTCTCCTACAATTGTCTTGTTTCCATTTGGTGTAGAGACTAGCGTCCAAAGTATGATCCTTAAAGTACAAGTAATAATGTCCATACTACAAAAGCTAAAATGTTCAATTGTCACTATCACAAGTGAAACTCAGAAATCACATAATTTAAAAAGAAAAGAAAGAAAAGTTCACATGAAATGCTCTTTTATTTGCTAGGTTTGCAGACAATAATAGAATAGTTAACTATCCTAAAATTAACTTCATAACCATTAGATAAATTATTGCACTAACACTGACAGGTAAAGGAGAAAAAAAAACCCTATGCTTTCAATTTACTGCTCTTAAACATACCCAGCACAGCAGCAATAAAAAGGCTTCCACTAGCTTCATTTATTACCGCCAACTTACAGTGGATCCTAATTTATTCATTTAATTAAAAAGGTAAATCAGATTACCTGCTAATCTGCTTCTGTCTTCTCCTGCCACAACAACAATCCAGTCCCTTTGGATTGTGATTGCAGTAGCAGTACTGGCCAAATTTGCAATGTTTGCAATAGTGATGATCAAGATATAGCAGGCAGTCTAAGGAATCAGAGGAAAACTTGAGTTAGCGTGTCAGTTCACTATCTCACTAGACAAGGTAACTTAAAATAATCTTAACTAACAATAATAAAAATTTTTTATTGTAATCTAATTCAAAGAAATCATATTGTATTCTACTAGTGGTCAAACTAAAGGGCATGTCATTGCCCTAGTCTTATTTATCTGTAGTATGTATAATGAATAATAATTTATGTGATCATTAACAGAAAATAGTAATGCAATGATGGCTTTCAAAATTTATGCCACAAATATGTCCACTAAAAAGACAACAAAGGAGACTCAAAAAGATCTGTCAGATTTCTGACACTTTATAGTTGAATGATAATAGGTGGTTGGTCAACTTTATTTTTTCTTAGTACTGTCATCAACAAAATAAACAAACAGACTTGAAGGTTATTAATGTCCTATCTGGCTTTGTAACTGTACAATATCAATTCCAATAAATACAAGAAGATTCAAAAGATATGGGGAGGGGGATGAAGGCAAGGTTAAGAGGGTATAGGGTCTGAATACAGTCAAGTATATAATATACTTGAATAAAAATGTCTTTTTGAAGCCTATCACTATGTGAAATGAATATAACCAATAAAAATTGTCATTCATTTATGATAAACATAAAAATTTCACCAAAGTCATTGTTTCCCACAGCACTCCTCCCTTTCCTCTTTTCCATAAAACTATCAGGAAACCATACTATGAAAAACTTTTACGGCTGATATCTTAAAGACAAACACAATGGTTAGAGGAACATAATTATGACTGATTCATATATACATGTGGAAACATTTCTTATATAGGTGAACAACTTATAAAGTAGAATAAAGCTGAAAACAACAATTGAGTAATTTAGTAAACTCTTAGAAATGCTACTAAAACCAATAATTCAAACTTTAAATTAAAAAATACTGAGTTATTGCTATGAACAAAACTACAAGGGATATTACAGTTGACACAGAAACCAATATTAAAAGGTTGCAGTAGAAAAAAACACAAAAGGTACACTCCTAGACTTTAAAGGGTCTTCGCCTTAGCCAGACATGGTGGCACATACCTTTAATCCTGCACTCAGAAGTCAGAGGCACTCGGATCTCTGTGAAATCAAGGCCAGCCTGGTCTACACAGAGAGTTCCAGGCCAGCTGGGGCCAAAGGGAGACCCCGTCTCAAAAAATAAAAATAAAAATAAAAAAATAAAAAGAAGGGAGGGGTTTTCACCTTAACTACTATTAGATATTTCATTTTCTGCCATCCAGAATCCTAGAGAGGACTCAGGGTACAGTTGAGTGGTAGAATACATGCTTAGCACATACAAAGTCCTGGGTTAATCTTCAGGGCCCCAAAAATAAGCAAACCAACAAAAGAATCTTATAGAGAACTCACAAGGACCCATCCATGGTACATGGTCAGAAGCTCGTTTTTGTGTAAGAAAACCATCATCAGGATGATTCCACAGAGGATGACTGAGACATTCTGCACCACCAGTGAAGCCTGGGCCACTGTACAGAGGAAGAAACAAAGTGTTCACTGCACCAGCATGTCTTGGCCGGGCAGCCTTCATGCATACGATTGTTCTACTACATGGATGCATATGCATAACTACTACAAGAAAAAAGAAAACCTTCCAACAGTAAATTCTGCCTCATAAATTCCCAGTACACAGATCAGTAAAATCTGCAAACAAAATGCAGTACTCACAATGATTTCTCTATTTGTTGAAGTCTTTCAGGATAACTACATTTTCATTTAGTTTATTCACTTGAAAGTTTACTGTCATAAACAGAACTATTAAATAGATAGGATCCATGTGTCACCCCTTTGTTGCTTAAGCTAAAACAAGAACACTTAGTAGAAAGGAGGTTAAGGAGGAAGTTGTGGAATGCTTGTAACCTCTTACATGGCAGACTTGATCTAATAAAGTAGTATGAACAAACAGGGAAAATACACAAAAATTTGTCAAGAATCAATAAATAGCAAATTTCTTTTGACATAGTATATTATTTGCCATTACTATGAAGTTCTAAGCCACACCTTCCATCACAAAAAAAAGCCAGTTCTCTTAGGGAGGCATTCATTCACACAGATAAAGTGCTAGGGAAAGGTAAGGACTTTACTCCGTTGGTCACTAGATAGGTATTTAATCCTCTAGAAGGTGAGGATCATAACATCCACCTTCCTTCCTTCATGGAATCATAATAGTACTCAAATATTTATTAAAGCAGTCTGAATTGTGTAATGTATAATTACAGCTCTTGTTATCCAGGACAATAAAGTTAATCCCGGCTTAGAAGGTCGTACCAAAGACTCAAGACAAAAAAAATTCCCCTCTGAAAGCAGTCTGAAATAAAATCTAACATATGACTCATTCATTCATTCATCTTTCCCATGCATGCATTCAGAGCAAAGGATTAAATATAAATGGAATGGGGTTCTTAGAAGCTTGTTCAAGCTCACAGACCAGAAGAAAAGATATGTGAACAAATTACTATAACTGTATAAGTACAACAACAGAGGCACCAGCAAAGTCTCAAAGAGCACAGAGAAGAAACAGTGAATTCACTCTACAAACAACAGGAAAGAGTCTTCATGAAGAGTGATTTGTGAGCTGATTATACAGCATACACGGGAGACTCCTTCCTCACCATACTCTTCAGCATCTCACTCAACACTTTCCGAACACATGACTGCATTTCTCAACAATTATACATAGTTAAAGGATCCTCCGGTTTTTTCTACAATACAGAATCCCTTTCTACATGTGCTCTGATCTACTTATTCTCAAAACAGAAAAACCTTCAAATGTATCATTTTACTAGTAGCATCAAGTCCTATAACCTGATAATCATTATCAAAGACTCAAGACAAAACAAATTTGGCTCTTGATCTAGAAGCAATCATCCTGAACTGAAACCAACCATACTTCAATGTTTTTCCAATGTTTAAGACAGGCATGGCCAGCTCTTTGCATTAAGTGAGCTCCAAATGATTATCCACACTCTTAGATGTTCTGAACAACTGAATTGCTCCATCATTTTCTAACTCTTATGTGTAAAACAGAATACAATAAATAAATGGCAACATATACTCATTTTTTTCTCTAAAAAATGATAATTCAGCTCTCTGTGATTTAGACTTAACTATTCTCTCTTGAATCAATATTTAGTTTTCAGTTCCTTTATACACAATTTATATGCCACACAGTAACCCGGGGGACAGATGTTCAAGCTATACCTAGGAACATTGCACTAGAGGGACTCTAGTGAAATTCATAGTTAGAAAAGAAGACAGAGCTAAGCAAACTTTTAATGTTTAACATGATTCCCAGAAAACTGGCTGTAGCATCAATCATTAACTTTTGAAACTTACTAACTGCAAAAAAGAAAGAAAAATCTATTAGGTCAATGTCCTGACATCCCAACTTTTGCAGAAGCCTCAGAATTCTTTATCCAGAGGGGTGGCCACCAAAACCCTATCCCTCAATTGAGTTGTATAAGCATTCACCAGGTTAGTAATAGTGATTTCTCTCTTAGTGTGATGTTCTCTGTTACAGAGGAAATGCAGACTGGTTCTGTGAACTCAAGGGTTTTGTTATATCGCAGTATTCACCTTTAAGTCTGGCATTCTTGTCCACCCAATCACCAATGATGGCTCCCAGGACCAAGACAGAGCCAGCCACCACCAGCCCGTAGACTGCAGTCAAGAGGAGGCTATTTCCATAGAGTTCCACCAGAAACACAGACACTGCAAAATGCCACATTCGATCTCCCTTAAACAAGAAAAAGATGTTGTATTGAAATACTTTGTTTCTAGTTTCAAAGTCACTAATTACTCTATGGATTAAATACTGTTCTGTTCAAACTTGATTCCAGCACAATGGAAAACATTCAAGACTGATTACTAAGTAAACTCAAAATTACATTAATGAAACATATTATTCTAGAAAAAAATGAAGTTTCCAAACCTAACCAAAACCCATTTCTTCATAGTCTCCCTCGGGAATGTGTCTTACCTACCTTGGTTTGAGATGCATAGTTTGCTACTGCACCGGAATCAAATTACAGTACCATTTATAAACATTAGTAGACATTAAATGTCAAGAAAAAAACAGCTTCTCAATTTATGAAATCATAAGAATGCACTATGAGGTCTCAAAAGTGTCTTTCCTCTCATTTTAAACTACATGCTATATGACAAGTAAATTTCAAAGTCATAAAACAGCAGAACAATCAGGGAGGTAAAGTCAATAAGGGCAACTTCTGGTACCACATGATCAAAGATGTTGAAATAAATGTATAAGCAAGGGCAGGAGAGATGGCTCAGCAGTTAAAAATCACTGACGGCTCTTGCAGAGGACCCAGAGGACCAGCACCCACATGGCAGCTAACAACCATCCATAACTCCAGTTCCTGGGGATCTGATGCCTTCTTCTGACACACAGATGCACCTACATACATACAGGCATTACATTCATATACATAAAAATAATAAATAAAATACTTTAAATGTTTATTAACATTTTAATACAGATAAATTATGAAAGAGGAAAAAGCTATTTCTTCACACAGCTCCAGAGTATATAAGGAATTTTGAAATTTGTTTCTTAAAAATGTGGTATGAATTTAACATACTTTTATATAAGTCCTACAGGTTAATATACAAGGCATCTAGAATAGACATTATTGTGAGATTTTAAGCTCTACACTTGACATTTGGGGTTAGCATTCTTTCATAACCTTCACTAAATTCCCAAGCTGAGTTTCTTCCAGATTTGACCCTGTGTGGAAGAACTTCAACTCCTAGATCTTCCAAAAGTCTGTCAAAATCCTCATGATAAATGAAAGAAAATTATTATCTCGGTAAGTCAAATGACATTAAATTTTTAATAAGCCAAGATCACAATCTTAAATATTCAAAATTTAAACTGATTCATGCTATCATTTGCAGTAAGTTCCATGTAGGCTATGAAAATCATGTTGTTCTCAATTAGAGATGATTTTATTCTCCAAGAATCATCTGTTAATGTCTGCAGTTATCTGGGTTACCACATCTGCAGGGAGATTGAGGACAGAATACTATTGGCATCTATATAATGTACAAGATAGTCCACAAGAATGAATGTTCTGCCCAAACAGCAACAGAGCAGAGGTAGAGAGACTGGTTCAAAGGATTGTGAATAGGACTTTTCAATCAGAATTCAAAATTAACAGGAGATTTAGAGCTTGGGGACTAAAGTGGAAATTGCTCTAGTTAACTCAATTTCCTAAGGGCTTAAATTTTGAGAAGTGATAAATTCTATGCTTACAAAAAGCTCAAGAACTGGGTAACATCTAAGTAAATATTGACTAAGTCCCACCCATTCCTTCCATGCATCCATTATCTGCTACCCTCCACATGCTCTCATACACTTTGATATTTGTTTACATGCCTATCTACCCACGCTGGATCTGAGGATAAGTAACCACAGTCATTAATCCACTTAATAAACACCTATAGAGTGGTTTCTGCCGCGTACCCTACGCTACTGTGGGCTCCAGAGCTTCAGCAGCACATGGAATACACAGTCTATGTTTTCATGCAGCTTGCATTCCAGTGCACAGAGGCCAAAGATAAATCTAGCATAGGTCAGGTGCTTATGAAGAAAAATAACTTGGGGTGGGGTTAAAGAGGAGTAGAGGAAATGGCAGAGGCATCTATGCACAGAGAAGTGAGGATTGCAGAAAAGTCTTTGAAAAAATGCAGACCACCCCCATCCCTGGTTAAATGGAGACAGTCCACAGGACACTGACTGACATAAACACAAGCAACTGGCTCCTCTTTTTCATTGCCTTACATTGCTATTTTTGTTATTTTTTTAAGCCCATGCTAGGTTATATTATAAACTCTTTAACAAAAGCATCCACTTCTGACACTATTTTGTATTCCAATAATAGCATGAAATGTGTTAAACCCACTGACAGACAGACATGAAATCAGAAAATAAAAGTCCACACAACCCTAACCTGAGAAAAGTTTCTGCCTTGATGCCCTTCATGCAACATCTAAGAAATCATGACTTGGCAGTATTAGTATTGGCAAGTAGATCAAGAAATAAGCATATATGTATACATAAGCACACGCTCTCATAGTAATAGCATCGGACAATGCCACACAATAGACAAAGCACAAAGTTGGAATTACCTAGAGTATTCCTCTCTTGTACTCCTTTGCAGAAAGAAGTAAAATTCCACTAAACCTTACATGGTGTTAGTTGTTATTTTTCACTCAACTTTCTCTCAAGAACTTGTCCATTTGCTCACTTACTATAAAGTAAAAGCAAGCATCTTTCACCTTTTGTATAGAACTTTCTTTAAAAATCCTTGACAAAATTCCTCTTCAACACAAAAAAAAAGTCTCCCTGGAACAAGGATGGCTCTTATGTTTTCAGCAATTCTCAACCCCAATCTATCAACCAAAAGTCTCAGGAACCTTAATGTTAATCACTATTTGGAAATAATGTACCTTGGTTCTCTAGGAGAGGGACACCTAACATGAGCACATGAGCACTTCCATGACATCAGTCAGTCATTTTAATGCCTAACACCACCAAATTAACTCAGAAGAACAAACTACTGGTTTAGTTTTATATAGGGTTTTTCATTGGGTTTCTTCTTATACTCATCAGCTAAAACAAATTCACACCAATTTGACTTTGTTTACATGTATTTGCAGAGTCATCCTGTATAAGCGTTTGGAAAGATATGACCTTGCTCTTCTAAAAAGTCATCTGTGAACTCATCTGTAAACTCTTATTTCTTAGAGAACCAATAACCTACCTTAAAATACTATTAGCTTAACATGCTACTATTGGTCGCTTTACCTGCCTCTATATGTTCATAATACTGCACCCAGGAACATTTAACAAAAAAAAAAAAACCATGGAAGTTTCTTAAAATGTGAACAAATAGAAGGTAAATGAAATACCTCTCCAGTTTTAGTAGCAGATATCATAATTTACCAAGCTCAGTAACACAATATACAACTTACAAATATGCAAGTTTTCCCATCCTTGTTAGTCTTATCTTTGAATAGTTGTCAATCTATATAAGGTATTAGACTCATAATTAAGTAATACTAACATTCATGGGAAATATCTTTGAAGCAAATATATTTTCCATTAAACTGTGTGTCTTAGAATGATTTATTTCCTTAACTGCATAACAAAACTAGAAGTTGACTCAATACGCTTGGCTCGAATGAAAGTAAACAAGGAGTTGTGCAACTATACTGTAAGAATTTGTGCACATTCTCACTTACCCATGTGGAGAGAGAGTGGCCAAGGTAAAGAAGGAATTTTGCAGAGGTCAGGTAGTTCACTAAGGATCCTGCAAAGGCACACAGGGAGGAAGATTTAAAAAACAAACATGGTCAGGCACTCGAATGAGCTCAGGTTAGAATGCTTACCCATCTGCTTTTGTTAAAATATGATTTTTTTAAAAATCAAGTCACAGTAAAAACTGATGCAGTATACTTAAAAGTCAGCAAAGCCCGTTGGTCAATAACCACCTAACTTCATACATAGTGAAGAAATCCTTGTTTCAACATTCTTAACTTTGGTGGTTTTTGTTTTTTTAACGCAAGGAATTCCACGCTACCCAGCCTACTCCAACCTTACAACCAGTGTGCAAGCTCTTTAAATCAAACTTTTAATTTCCTTTTTTCTTTAACCTCCATCAGAACAAAGAAGGTTCGTCTCCCATGTCCCACCTGTACCTTCACCAGAGGCATCCACCTAATCAGCACAACTCACCACAGCATCCTTCCTGGCGGCTCTGCTCTCTTGCCTTGGGCATGACACCGGGCGCTGTCCCCCTGCTTGTTCTGCTGCCGGCTGCTGCCGCTGCTCTTGCGGGGGCGCGGGGGGCTTCTTCACCTGAGTGCGAGGAACTGGAGATCGCAACGCTAAAAGCACAAGAGCCTAGTGCAAAAAGACCCCAAAGGACAACTAGGGCAAAGATCAAAAGCAAAGCTGCCACCGGGGTCTTCTTTTTGTCTTCTTTCCAAACTTAGCTAACACTGTAGCTGAAGTTGGAAAGTCAAGGCCTTATGGAAGCGGGTGGGAGGCTACAAAGGCCACAGGAGATCCTGAGCCTGCTCTCACCGCCACCGCCGCCGCCACCGCCGCGGGCCGAGCTGCCACTTATACGGAGCTGGGGGCGGAGCTCGCGTGCACCAGGCCGCCCCTCCCGCCAACGACAGCCGCGTTCCCCGCGCAGGGCTAGCTCCGGCCACCGCGCCGCCCTCCGCCGGAGGAGTCCCCCGCCTGGCGATGTAGGTCGGCCGAAGGCCCTGCGGCCCCGGAGACCTTGGCTAGGCCACCGCCGCCAGAAGCCCGAGAAGAGATCGGGTGGCCGGGGCTGTGGAAAGGGGACTGTGCGTGGACGCGGCGGGGACACAGTGGATACGATTTGCACAAAGCAGGTGCTAAAGGGACTTGCTTCTCTCGGCCACCTGATTGCCAAGAGTCCCTAGGCAAAGCTCAGCCCGAGCTGGCTGGGTAAAGGGAGCTTATGAAAGCCCAATTTTTAAATATAGGTAGCTAAATAAATACAAGCCCTCACAGAGGCCTCCTTCCTGGCCTTCTCGGCCCGCCTGTGGCGGGGAATGTTTTCCTTCCCAGGACTGCAAAAAGGGGCTTCCCACAAAGCAGCAGAATCAAAGGGCAGGAAGGGGCTCAAAGATCAGAGTGCAGCCCAGTGGGTAAACGCCGGCCTGGAGAGGTGAGGTCCAGCCACCGTCCCAGCCCAGACCTCGGGCTGCCATCTGTCCTGCTGGCACAGCAAAGAGGCAGCAGCCTTTCACCGTCCTCCCTCCCTTTCATCTCCTGCCACAGGGACCTCCTTGGCTACTGCTCCTCCTCCACCTGCTCCAGTTACCTGGAGCACCGGTTTTCGACTTGGGTCCCCGGGTCTGGCCCCAGATAAAACCATTGGTGGCCTCCTGGAAGGACAGGTGACTAAAGCACACCAGGTGTAAGCCTCCGTGACCTCAGTTTCCTCCCTAAGGCTCCTTTTGCCAGCGGATTGCTTACCTTACCTTTGTCAATCTCGACAAAACTTCTGGAGTGATCTTAAACATTGAAACTCCAACCAGCTTGCACACCTTGCGCACCGCCAGACTGACACCTAGTAATGAAGGGAGCCAGTCTTGAGCGCAGGCCTTGTATCTGGACTCTCGATCAGAAGCCCCAAAGGTCTTTGCGGGCGGGGTGCAGCTGGATTCGTTGGGATATGGTCTGGAGAGCAGAGATAGGGGATTCACAGTTTACTGCTGCTAACTACTTTTGTCCTTTGCAAGCCCTCCCTTTTCCTTTCACACAATAGTTTTCGATTTTTTCTTCTCTTTCAGAGGTTTGGATATGTCTGCTGAAGTTACAGAATGAGGATGAGTATCCAAATGTCCTTGAGAGGTGAACCTAAAGTATACTTAACATGAGAGACTTGGGAAGTAGGCTCTGGTAAATGATGACAGTATTAGAGATGGGTTTTGTTGCTAGATCCTCAAGCAAAGCACAAAAGATTCTGATACCTTGCCATGTTCTTTACATCAAGTATTGTGTGCCTTAAAGGTCATTGTTGAGCTATCCCCAACCTCCAGGTGGCTTAAAGGAAGCTAGCTTCAGTCAGTTAAGAAAAAGATTACAAGGTGGATGTGGAGATGGGGGAGGGGGTCTGAACCTCACCTAGGGCAAAGAACAAAAGCAAAGCTGCCACCAGGTCTTCTTTTCAACCTTGGCTAACACTGTAGCTGAAGCCAGAAAGTCAAAGCCTCCTGGAAGCTGGTAGACAACTGGTGTACAGCTGCCAGAGACCCTGAGCCTGTTCTCACCACTACCACTTCAAAGAAAGTAATAAAATTTAAAGAGAAAAGAAAAAGATTACTTACTATCGACACTGAGAAGTATCTGTGGAAACAGTAGCTGAGTTAATGTGTACTTCAAAATGTGAAATGGATTCTGTGCTCTCCATTGTCAGCAATGGTCCCCAGAAGCCCAAACCAGGAGCACATCAAGAACAGGGGGAGCTAGAATGAAACAAAGGGGAAAGACACTGTGAGAAGAAAGTGAGCAAGAACACCAAAAACAGCCATGTGTTTAAGCTGCACCAGTGGAATCTGAATCCTATTTTAAGGAGAATAGTCAAAATGTATTAGCTAGAACTCATGGGATGGAAAGGAGCTAAAATGAAAATGAAATCAAAATACTCAAAATGCATGTAAATTGCAATCACAGAAATGTCCTGGCCTTGATGTTCTAGATTACAGAGCACTGCTTAAATCACAAGACACTGTTGGCATTTCCTCCTGCCAAGAAAATGTTTGACCAGTAGGAAAATTAAGATTTTGTTCAAAATGAATTTTTATTTTTCTGAGAACACAAAATGTACAACTTTCCTGTCAATTTAATCATGATTAAGAAAGTCATGCATGTCTTAAGTCAGTTTTTTAAAAAGTATGCCTCAAAAACATCTTTCAATTTCAACATTTATTCATGAGACAGAGTCTATACTGTCTACATTGGCTTTGAACTCACAATCCTCCTGCCTCGGCCTCTCTAGTGCTAGAATTATAGGCATGTATTACCACAGAGCCTTTTTCAACACATTTTAGTTTGCCAGTAGGCTAAGCAAGTTATCAAATATTCCACCCAGAATAAAATATACTGTGATTAAAAGTAGTTAACAGATGTATATGGTGGGGAAATAGAGTTTCTATTATTTTGTTTTCAAGTTGTGTTTTTACTTACCAGCCAGGATCCTCACTTTCCTCTGCTCTATCTGATGTGCTCTCCAGGACAAAGGCAGAATAAAGAATGGTCACTACCCCTTGGCTCTGAAGAACAAAATAAAACAAAAACATAATAGGGCTATCACTAGATATTACAGGAAAAGCTCAGATACAGGACAGAGCTCCTATTGGATGTGAAGCCTTAAGCCTTAGGAGCTAGAAGGCCACATTTCTGTTAACTGCCTTTCTCAATGCTACAGGCAAATTTCAAGAACTGTTTGACGTTTCTGTAACCTTAAAACAGAGTGGATCCTTGAGAAATTCAAGTTCAGGTTCTTTAAGTCACAGACAACTAAAGAAAAGATAAGGGGCTGGAGAGATTGGCTCCACAGTTAAGAGCACTGGCTGCTCTTGCAGAAGACCTGAGTTCAGTTACCAGCACCTGCATGGTGACTAACAGTGCTCTGTAACTCCAGTTCCCAGGGATCCAATGCCCTCTTCTGACCTCCGAGGGCATTGTGTGACACGGGTGCACTTACATACATGCAGGCAATACACTGATGAAAAAAAATTTTTTTAATTGAAAAAAAGAGGAGGCTGGAGAGATGGCTCAGCAGTTAAGAGCACTGACTGCTCTCGCAGAGGACCCAGGTTCGATTCCCAGCACCCACATGACAGCTATGAACCGTCCTTAACTTCAGTTCCAAGGACTGATGAAAAAAAATTTTTTTAATTGAAAAAAAGAGGAGGCTGGAGAGATGGCTCAGCAGTTAAGAGCACTGACTGCTCTCGCAGAGGACCCAGGTTCGATTCCCAGCACCCACATGACAGCTATGAACCGTCCTTAACTTCAGTTCCAAGGGGAATCTGAAGCCCTTTTCTGACCTCTGCGGCACTGCACAACATGGGTGCACTCGCATACATGCAGGCAATGCACTCATACACATAA